GTGCAAACATTGGAAGAAAGATGGAGTACGAACATCCTCAATAAAATAACAGCAGTTCAAACTACACTGGTGTATGTAATAACAGAAAGCCTCTCACCCCACAAGGAACAAAACATAATAGAAATTAATAGGCATTTCGTGGTACCATAAAGGGTAGCTCAGTTTTATTCCAGGATATGCTTAGCCTCCAAGGAGCTACAGCTCTGAGCCCCCAATGCCAACCTACTTGACTACACTCACCCTACCTCACTAGAAAAGAGTAAGAAGGGCTACACTCATTACCCACTAATTTTTCTTCCTCCTAGGATGAAGCACAGCTGGAACTACAGGGCTGGAGCTTTCCTCCAATCCTTGGCCACCACCAGCAAAAGTGGTCAGGGACCTGCTAGAGCCCCCTGCCCAATGTGGTCCTCCCCCTTCCAGCAGACCAGTCCCAGCAGGTGCCTGGCAATAAAAACCATTCACACTCCAGGGCAGCCTGTCCAGGAGGGACATAAACAGGCACCTCATGTTAGCACAGGCACCTGGGAATTGTAGTTTCTGCCCTCTCTACTGTCACCAAAGAGCAAACAAGCAAGAAGAAGGTTGCCAATAATATAATTGACCAAACATACAAAAGCAACCTTGAAGAATATAAAGAGAATCTGTTTTTTGCAAGAATATTTATAGTGATATAAGACAAGCTATCATGTAAAGTGCAAATAAAGTACAAAGTGCATGAATGCTTCGGTATGTTTCGTCGACTCTCCGCTGTCACAGCAACCCTGGCACATGTGAAGGCCTCAGAGACTACATTGCCCAGAATGCAACTGTCAGCAAAAAGGGCCCTTTCAGTTTACAGGCTTGGCGTCCTCACTATTGCCTGAAACGTAGGAGGTTTTTCCAGAGGAGAGGCGAAGGTGGTTGTTGTTGTTGTTTTAAATTGCGACTCACACAGAGTAAAACAAGAACCCAAGGGGACCTTTCCAAAGCTGTTTGGTGAGGATGCAGAGCACATTCGAGAGGAGGCATCGCTCTTGACAGCCCAACTTCTTTGCATCCGAAGAAGGGCATGAACCCAGGGGTTTCCTGGGAGCGCAGAACGTTTGAGTGCCGGCGCTCTTTTTGCAGCGTATTGCTGGAAAGAGCTGGCAGAGAGACGGACACTTGGCTATGGCTTCATTTCGGGTTGCCCGCAGACTTTGGTGGGGCTGCAGCAGGAGTAAGTGCACACCGCGCGGGGAAGGCTGCTTGGCTTTGGCTGCGAGCGTCAGAAGAAACTTTCTCCCAACGCTAATTGCGGGGAAAGGGGGTCGGCACCGCGGTCCAGCATGTGTTAGTTGCGGTTCTTAATGTGTGTGTGTAAAGCTGAGCAGGCTGTAATTCAGCCGTGTGGGGAACGCTACCTTTGCAGTTCACGCAGGAAAATCTAGGCGGTCACTAAGGTAACACAGTAGCCAACGATGCTTGACGAGTGCCAGCCTGGGAACTGGAATTAAGAATAGTCCTTCTATGTGTGAGGCTGTGCGGTATTTAGCTCCAGGTTGTGGGTGGGTGGCACCATCTTCTACTCCTTTCGGCTCCCGTAAGGGTCTTAGACCTGAGCAATCATAAGTCGATGCTGCTTTAAAAAGTTGTACTGAAATCTGATGTACTGCTGAGTATTAGTAGCTTCGATAGCCAATTGGCGGGCCTGACTCGTAGCTTTCCAATGGAGTTATTTGAAAAACTGAGGAGGGACGTGTGTGAGTGTGCGAGAGGGACAGTTGAGTTTAGACTTGCCAAACTAAGATGCAAACTAACATGATAGAGGCTTTTGCATCTTGAAGTCAGTGAAGGTAACAGTGAAAGTTTGGAGTTTGGAACTACTGATCTTTTAGAAACAAGTTTTGATTAGAGAAAGAAAATTGATGATAGTATTTTTAGTGAACATGGTATGGAGTTCCTGAGGGTAATTCTGGCCACAGTCATGATGGTGCACTTGTTTATTTACTGCATGAAATTCCAAAGGAGTAGCCAGGTTAGTCTGTTGCAGGAAGAACAAGTGTGTTGCCGTGTTTGGTGATCACCTTACATTTTCTTCTAAAGTTTTATGCATTGGCTTGGGTCCTGACTAGCATTTCTACAGGCACAAAGTTTTTTGCCTACATAGCATGGTTTTCCTGTCTCCGTCTCCCATGGTGGCTTGCCCAAGGTCATCCAGCAGCTGCAAGTTGAGGCGTGGGGAATCAAACCCGGTTCTCCCAGATTAGAGTCCACTACACCAAAATGGCTGATCCTCATGATGATGATCCTCATGTACAAAATTTGGGTGGGGGCTGCAGGGGGTGGGGGGAGTCCAGCTCCAGGAGTTCCTCTCTGCTCTCAGATCTTACAGTGTTTGAGCCGCTGAGAGTATTTCAAAATTCTGTGTGTAAAGGGCTTGGTCAGTGGAACATAAGAAACATCTGATTGTACACAATCTGAAGCAGAGTTAAACCCTTTAAATTACAACCTCTATGTAGGACTGTAAACTAATTCCACTGAACTCAAGGGCAGTTGCTCCCAAGTAAGTGTTTTCAGAAGTGGAACATTGGTAAATATATTTATTACAAACATTAATATAAGATTTATTTGTAATGTATCTAAAGCAGCTGTATATTTGATGTCATTATCTTTATTTTCAGGGTTTGTTTCAACTGATTTGGTTCCTAAACTATCAACAGCTGAGATTGCACAGATGCGCAACAAGCTCTTTGCGAAGGAAAAAGAGAGACAATTGTCTCTCTATCCACGAATTGAGAAGATCGAAGTAAAGTATGTTGGCAAATCTCACCCAGGCACTATATTTGTAATGAACAAAGGACTCTCCACACCATATACTTGTGCCATGCGTAAGTAAATGCAACAGAGTACTGGGGTTATATCACTCTTAATCTGAATGACAAATCAAGCTAACACTAATGTTATGTTGCAGAGCATAGTTGTACTGTGCTCTAATTTCATTGCCATCTCCGTGACTACATATGCCTGTGTTTTAGGGTGGATAATAAAAATTCCATGTCTACCAACTATATAGGAAAAGAAGGGACAGTATACTCTACCCACCAAACCTAGAGATATGAGATCTTGTGGGAAAACTGAAAAAAAATCAAGAGAAAATGGCTTTTTCCCTCCAGGAGAAAAATTGGAAATTTGGAGGGAGAAATTATTATGTAAAAACATTTTAAAAGTAAAAATGCTCTTTCAGAATGATTAGTTTAAATGCTTGAAAGGGAGTTTTAAAATAAGTTTGAGTCCAGTGGCTAGCACACTTCCTCAGATACCATCTGGTACAAAACTAGATCTAAGACAGAGACAGTGGTAGCTGTAGCACTGCTGTTGCATTATTATTAAGCAAGCAACGTTTTTAGGAGCTGGTGATATGCCAACTGTTTTCAAAGCAAAATGCAGAGGTTTTTTTCAGATATTTGGTCCAAATTATGTCCAACATGTTGCTCCTGCAAGGCTTAACCGCTTTTATTTCTCGCTAGTCTCAGATTCCTCCATCTTCTGAATAATGTGAAATCAACTGAGCAGTGTTTGAAAAGGATGTGTTCTGATCTGGTTGCCTCACCTCAAAAAGAATAGCCTAGAGTGGGGAAAAGACAGGAAAAGGCCACTACAATGATCAAGTGGATACAACATCTCAAGTATTTGAGGCTTTCAGTTCAAGGGGGGGGGATGTGATTAAACAGGGACATAAGTGATTTCTAGAGTGGCACATGATGTACAGTACCATCTTTATGGGGCATCCCATGCACAGTATGCATAACTAAACTAACAAGATAAAGACTTCTGCTTTCTGTATTACAATATTAAGCGTTTCTGTTTTCACCTCTTATTTATTTCTTCTTTCCCCAACATGCAAAAACTAAGACAGGTATATCAAGTTGCAGCTGTTTGTTGCTTCATTGTTAACTCTGAATATATTGGCACCTACATATATTGGCATTTATAAATATACCAAATAGTAAAGTTGTATGTGCATGCTATGCATTGTACATTACATGTTCTTAAAATAAGATTGTAAGCTTAAATTTGATGAAGAAATATTTTATATTTCACTCTTCTCCCCTTTGGGGGGGGGGGGGGGTCATTGTAGACTTCAGATCCCTCTTCACGAATCCTACAAACAGCCAAAACAAGTGATTTCCATGGTCTTCCTGTAACCCTCCAACGCCTTCTGCCCATTCTAATGGCACTGGCTTCTGGTACTATCTGATGGTAGAGGCTGAGCAGTAATGTTTGTGAACATTATATAGCTGATAATTTTAAACTGTCAGCACCAACTCTTTTGTTAAATATATGGGCATTGTGTTCATGACTACATTTTCCAATTTTTGGGTTCTTCCTCCTTCTCTAGATTTAAGTGAGTGGCACTGTAAGAAATCTGTACTCGCCCTTGTAGATGGAAAAATCTGGGAAATGTACCGGCCTTTCACTCAGTCATGCGAAATACAGTTTCTTACTTTCAAAGATGAAGATCCAGAGGAAGTGAACAAAGTAGGTTTCTGCCATTTTTTCCCAGATTGTTTTTTTAATCTCCTTTATGTTTGATTTCATTCCGATGAAATGTAGAGGATTGAAGGATCCAGGTGTAGCTGAACAATTTAATCACATTATTCTGTAGTACAGTAAACAGGGAACATGGCTGTGTTAATCTCTTGCAGGAAAAATAAACAGGCATCCTTATGTCACCTTATGGACTGGCAGATTCATTGCTTCCGCGCTTGACCCCTTCCAGTCCGGCTTCTGCCCGGGACACGGGACGGAGCCGGCTTTGGTCGCTCTGACTGACGACCTCCGGAGACAGCTGGATCGGGGCGGGTCGGCGGTACTGTTGTTGTTAGATCTGTCGGCCGTGTTTGACACGGTCGACCACCAATTACTAGTCCACCGCCTCGCCGACATGGGGATTCAGGGGCTTTCCCTA